CACAAGGGTTAGATATCGGCTTCGAATCCCGATAACTGTGATGAAGGTTACTATGCTAAAAATGCATAAGACCTCTGCAAGTAACGGGGACATAGCCTCACTATCTATCTGTCAGATTGGGATTATAGTCCAATTAACATCCTCCCAACGTACCGTCCGGTCGGGGTTGGGGGCCAGTGGCGGATCCAGAAATTCCACTTATTGGGGGCACTTTTATGGATGTGTTTATCTGTAACTCATAGTAACTTATTTTAAGGGGGCTTTTGGGATCTGCTTATGAAAATTGCTTCTGCTCCTTCATGAAATATATGCAAATATTGAAGTGTTTGGGTGAAAGTGTAGAAGTACTTTAAGTGCTTCAAATTGCTAGTAGAAGTAAATTTTGAGAAGTTGAGGTAGACCAGCGTCTGAAAAGCTAATTCTAATTATGCTTCCGTTGTAAAAAAAAGCAGATTAAAAATCATTTCCAAACAACGCCTAATAATTCATCTCTAATTGATTGTCTTTCTTGGGTTTGCACAGTTGTTAATTAATTTTTTTCACTAATATTACTTTTAGAAAAGTGGTGAACAAAAATGTAACTTGGTAATTTTTAGTGACTATAATTGTGTTCAAAATAATTACTACTCCGCTATAATATAGTGACTATGATATAAACTTTGACACAACTATTGCTAGTAATAGTTTTTAAGTCACATTTTTGTTCATGAATTTTTTTATTATTAATATTTTAGAAAAAAAATCTATTAATTAGGTGATTGAAAAAAACATTGTTGGTTAACATACTTTTTCAAAAATGGAAACTCAACAATTATTTTATGACACTTGGTTTGTTCTTCTTTAAGACTGAAATAAATCTAAGTAAAAACATTATTATTTTGAAGAGAGAACGATAATATCACCTAGAGAATTATTTACTAAAAATGATGAAATAGTTTAGATAAGGGTGAAAAGATTTATGGATAAAAATGGAAATGGAAAATCAAAAAACTTTAGCTAGTCTTAAATTTCAAACTCAAGTAAAGTTAGTCCCTAACCACGTAGAAACTAAATATATATAAAAATTCAATCAAAGAACTTGGTAAAACTCTTTTTTATGGCAAGTGATTTGTGATCATAGATTAAAAAATAGATTAATAAATGGTAGACATGAAAATTTAATGGGGGCATATCAAATTTTTAATGGGGGCATATCAATTTTTTAATGGGGCAATAAGTAAAAAGTGTAAAAACTATAAGCCTAAATCAAATTTTATTGGGGGCATGTGCCCCCATTGATCAAAAGGTGTATTCGTCCCTGTTGGGGGCCCTAAGGGATGGGGTGTCATCCTTTCTTATACGTATATTTGTATCATTTGTATGACACGTGTGTTCGGAAGGTCTTGGACGGGATCAATTATGTGGGAGACAGTCCCATTTATTTTTATCACATATACTCCGTAATAAAGATTTTTATAACTTACTTATACATCTATGTGGTCTAGCGCTATGTAATTATGCCTTACTTATACATCTAAAGAAAGAATGACATTCAAATGAAGAATAGAAACACCAAATATACAAAGATACGCTCACGCTAGCTCATTTTATGTTACACGTTGAGAAAGGAATAATGTATTGGTGTTGAGAAAGGAATAGCCTGGAAGGAGTGCAAATTGCTTCCACACCAAGAAAATGATGAAGACTGCCCAAGGCTTTAAGTGAAAACCGGTTAGAAAGAAGAGTAATAAAATGAGTTAGAACATCATTATTATTTCCTGTGAGCACAATGTCATCAAAATACACCAATAAATAAATAAATAAATGTCCCACGAGAGGCATAAATAAACAAAGATGAATCAGCTTTGGATTTAAGGCCATAAAGTGCCTTCCAAAGGCGACAAATATAATCAGGATGCAAAGTGCCATTAAGAAAGGCGTTATTAATATCTAGCTCGCGAACACACCACCCATGATGCAACACAAGAGTAAGAATAATGCGGGCTGTGACTGGCTTCATAACTGGACTAAAGGTTTCGGAATAATCCTTTAAGGTTGCTGAGAGTACCCTTTAGCAACTAGTCGGGCTTAATGATCCACTGTACCATCAGGCTTGCGTTTGACTCGAAACACCCATTTACACCCAACGGTGTGATGACTGCCACGAGGAACCAAGTCCCAAGTGTTATTTTGGAACCAATTCCTCATCCATAACTTGACGCCATAGAGGATCCCTCAAGGCCTGAGTAATGGTTTTGGGTTCAAGAGTTATGGGTTGGGGGTGGACAGTAGAAAGATTGACAAACGACGGCCCAAAGTACTTGGGATTGGGATGACGAGTACGAACTAGGTTAGACCGGAGAGGAGCTAGTGAATGATTAGGAGAAAGAGAGGAATATAAACTAGGTGATAGGGGGTTGACTGGATGGTTAGAAGACAGTTCAATAGATGGAGGAGGAGAGCCTGTACAGACAGGGGACATGCCTGACGACGTACATTGAATGGTCCGACTGGAAGGGGAGGTAAGGGGAATGGGTGGTGTACTGGGAATAGATGCAGGACGGATCTAGGATTTCGAGTCAAGGGGGGCAAAAAAAAATTCGTTAGTATAGGGGTGAAAAAAATCGCTAGTGTAGCGGGGCGATTTTTCCCGCTTGTGTAGTGAGGCGATTTTTTTCGCTAGCGTAGGGCTACGGCTAATTTTCATTCCAAAAAATTCATCGGTACATACACGATGATATTTAAATCTATTACATTATAAGTTTAAACAATGGAAAAATAATTTTAGTTTTATAATTGTAAGTGTTCTAAAAATGTACTAATACATTAAAGTGTAAGAAATAACAAATCAAATGAGAAATATTTGAAGGTAAAAGAGTTTAAAAAGTACACATCAACCAAGGTTTTTTAAATAACTTATGTCTTTCTTAATTATATGAATCTTATTAGAATTAAAGAATTGGTTTTTGAATTGCAATTTTTGTCTACCACGGATGGTGTTCGTAGGTAACGAGAACTGAACTTTTCCTAATATTACAACAGTATGTATGAGAATATTATTTTTAGAATAATATTATATGGAGTACATAGTATTGTTAATTCACATATATGGTGCATATTGTATTTGTATTAATGTCAAAAGAAGTTAAAGTTTATTATCTATGCAACAAATTGTTTTTAGACAGTAATAAGTAAATGAATTGTGTAATTTAATGTCAATGAAAATTTATATTTTAGATTCACTTCATATGATCTAAAAATTGTTTAACTAGTGTGTGATATTTAATATTGTTTGATATTTTACAAAATCAAGTACTAATCATCCAATAAAGACAATTAAACGTTACAAAGCTAGAAATTTTTATATAATAGGTATCATATGTCTTAAACAATGAGTTGTGCTATTGTTTATTCATTTAAGTTATGTAAATTATTTTAGATGTTATTTTTATAAAATCTCCAATTATGTATTACATTATGTAATGCAATATATTAATTTTGAAAATTAAAAGTTAAGAGGGGCGAAGACATATATATCTAATTAAAGTATGATAATATTACATATACATAGTAGAAAAATTTGAAAGTCCAAGGGGGGTGGTCACCCTGCACCCCCCCCCCCCCCCCCCTAAATCCGTCCCTGAATAGATGGACAAGAAACGACACTGGGACAAACACGGGAGGATGATATATCATGATAGTCCGAGGAGAGGACACTCCAGGAAAAATGTGGTCAATGAATTTGACATGCGTGGAGAAAAACAGTTTTTGAGTAGAGTGTTAGAGTACCCTAAAAATATGCATGGGGTAGACCGGGGTAATTTGTGAGTGGTATAGGGGCGAAGATATGGAAAGCCCGCATAGACACCCAAATGGTTTTAATTTGGTGTAATTGGGTTCGGTACCATAGAGATATAGGGAGACTTATGATGGAGCAAAGGTGTGGACATGCGATTGATGAGATAGGCGGCTGTTTGAAAAGCATGAGGCCAATTAGTGAGGGGTAATGTAGCCATATGAAGGTGGGATAAACCAATTTCGACGATATGTCGATGACGACGCTCAACGGTACCGTTGTGTTCAGGGGTATGTGGTGGAGTGGTGAGGTGAGAGATACATGAAGAAAAAGAGAAAATAAAAATATAAAAAACCTTCCATTTGGTAATGTTTGGCAAAACGAAGAATACGACGATGCTCCCCCTATTTTGTCACAAAGTCTACTATGTATCCCAAAAATCATACTATGCTACTCGATCCATAGTATATTTTATTTTATTGTAAAAGCAATTCAAACCAAAGAGCATATCTTATCTCTTATGGGAAGAACGGTTCTTTTCTATTTCTTTTCAAACCAAACAACATGTACATGTAAAGGATGAAGCACATTCACACGACACCAGCCATATAATCTCTCTGCAAGACTGCAAACAAAATAATCTACATGCATATATTGATTTCCTTGACTAATATAACGGTAAATGACTTTTTATTGAGAGTTTGATACATTTATGAGAGTATTTGTAACAAAAAACATTTTCATATACTAAATAATTTCTTATGCGATTATATCATTGCTTAAACTTTAACATCGCTAACAATATAAAAGTTTAAAATGCCTAGGTTATTAGGTTCCACCTTTAATTTCCATATAATTTTGTACTACTTAGTTCTATACTTCTATTTTTTTCGCCTCCCGAAATCATACTTCTAAGAAGATGTATTAATTAGTTCTATACTTCTATTTTTTTAAAAAATTACGACCACCTTTATTTTATTTTGTATATTAAAATTGTCATATTATTTTTTAAGTTAAGAGCATCTTGTTAGTTCACTTCCATTTATTTCTTTGCTTCTTTTCTAAACAAAGTAAACCTGTAAAGGTGGAAGAGTCCGTGCATTTAAATGCACAAAACATAAAGCAACATTCTAAATTGATTTATACTTTACTTCAATTCATGAGTAAGCCCATGATTTAAATCCAATGCTGGCTATTATATGCTCTACTTAAGTTGTTGTTTTGTCTTGATATGATGCTATTTTAATAGACTTGTCCTTAGTTTCTACGTGACAATATACACACTTTCTTTGTTCTAATAAAAAAAATAAACTTGTGATGGCTCAAAAAACAATGGACGGGACAAGCGATTATCAATATTTGTGCCACCTTTGTCATGGGGAGTTTCGTTCTGCTCACGAAGCCACCTCATGTCGTCTATGTTCTTATCCGTACATGTACGAGATCGAAAGCATTACATTCTATTTGGGGGATAGTGACAATCATGAAGAAGAAGGATTGGCAGCTTGGCGATGGCGATCAAGGAATCATCATCCAGAAAGAGAATCATCTTTTATACCCCAACAACCGGGAGTTGTGATCCGTCTAAGACGGGATGGTATAAGTGGGGTTCCACCCCTAACCTCTAGGCTAGGGGGTAAACCACCACAGCTTCAGTCCACGGTCCAGAACATTACACATTGCAATGAATGGTATTGGTGTTACCAATGTAAGAAACCACACACATTAGAACCAAACATCGTCGTTTCATCTTCTTCGCCTCCCGAAATCATACAATGTCGTGAAAATCCAGCCCATAGAACAATCAGATTCACCGATGCGCTTAGCTACAGCTTGAATGATTGTCACTGGTGCAATCGATGTGAACGACCTCATTTTCCGGTTTCGGCCCCCTATTTTTCTGTGTGTAGCTGCGAGGGCGATGAGTCGAGGACAACGATTCAATTTCAAAAAACTGTCATCATTTATAGGGATGCCGATCGATAGAGAAACACTTGCGCGCGTTGTTACTCATCTTATGAAACCGTTGGTGTTTGAAATTACGGATGCGGTCGGCATATGTAATCTAGACCGTATCGTAACATACGAGAGTAATGAGACAGATACTGAGGAGAAAATTATTATGGGTTTAATACCAAGGGTGAGAATACATGATTTGACAAGGTGTGGGGAATGCATAATATGTTTGGAAGAGTTTGAGGTTGGAGAGGAAGGAAGTGAGTTACCTTGCAAGCACATATACCACAAAGAATGTATTGCTCCATGGCTGATGAAGAATTACTCTTGTTTGTAGATGTGATTTGCGTTTACCTACAGAAACTAGTACGACTGCTGGTGATGATCAACATGAACTTCAAGAGCCTCAACCGTCTCAGGGGAGCTTTAGACGATGCTGGAGGATTTGGCAGCTTTTAGTGATGCATCATTTTAGATGCTTAGCAGCCGAATTGTGGGCTATTATTAGAGCAATACTAAAAATGAACTCATGGAAGAACTGAACTAAATCAAAGAATCAAATTAGTAAATTAAATCATTTAAATGTGTAACGTGTATGCGGGAATGGAAAGATGTTTGGAAAGGTAAAATCTCACTTACAGAAAATCATAGTGGCACATGAATGATAATGGAGTATATGAAATTTGTCTCATTTTACCATAGTTTCTTGTAGATTCATTATATATTTTTTCTGGTATTAGATTTACCTCATTTTACCCTTTCTGTTTCAGGGAGTAGGTGTAGATTTGAGATATCGCTACCGAAAGTGTCATGACCGGAAACAATATTGTGACAACGGTTTGCCATATATGTCTCTGGTACCATGTGAATTATATATGAACTGAATTTTATTACGTCTTATTATAATCTTGATTATAGCTACTATACAATTAGGTATTTTTATAATAGCTAATAAAACTAGAGTATTAGGATTTTTATACAAGTTGGGCTAAGCACAATATAATTAGGGTTTCAACAATTATTCAACAATTAGTAGTCAAATAATATTTTGAAGATATATAATTGTGCTTATTAATTGTATATTTTAAATGCTAGTTGATTCTCATTTTTTTAAGTTTATCAATATTGAAATTATGGAATTCACAATTCACAATTAATCGAATTATATGCTTTGTATTTTGTAGAGAAAATTACTATATTTTATTGAGGATTCAACTACATTATGTACCCCGAGTATTTACTTTATTTTTAGCACTATGTCTCCAAAATCTTTGTCTGGATCTTAAAAGAGGAAGAGGATATCATGTTTGAATCATTAACTCAAACTCAGGCCAGAAAAGGTTCTTGTTGACAATACATGTGACAATTGCAAGTGCAGAAAGAAATTTCTCAAAGCTGAAGCTTATAAAATATTTTTACGGTCAACCATGTCTCATGAAAGATTGAATGGATTAACTATGTTATCAATTGAGAAGGAATTTATTGATGACATAGATTATGTGAACTTGATTATTACTTTTGCATTTAAAACTGTTCGACCAGTTGCACTTAATTAGTTTTTTAATACACCGAATGTCATTTTGTTATAATGTAAGACTTGTATTTAAGAAATGTTGTTTTTAATGCGATATTCAATCATTCAACTTTAAATAATCTATATGATAAACAAACACTATTTAACCCATTTTATGAAACCGACTCACGCTTGAGTTTAGGTAAGACCGGCACTGAGAAGTGAGAACTGAGCAAACTGATGCAGCAGGGAAGCTTGCTTTCACTAAGATGCACTCATCCACCTCAAATAACACCATTTGCGTGAAGATGGGCTAGAGAAAGATCTTGCCGGCCCATTGTGAGATCAGTTCTTTCCTTTCCGAGTTTGCGTGACGACGGCCAGCCATAAAAAAGCCTGAGCTTCCCAGACGCCGCCGTCCCCATTACTCCTCTTGATATCTCCGTCATCTCCATTTCCGATTCTTGGGTTTTCAACCGCCATCTCACTTTCATTCCTTTCTCCACCCAATAGGGTTATGAGGGTGAGAGAAAGAAAGGGCACAACTTCTTACGAGTATAATCTTTTGCAAAAATATCTCCTTGAAATAATAAGTACAAATTGTGAATATTTTATTCATATACTATATGTCTCTTGATACCCCACATGCATCTATACCATCTCAAACATTCTCGGGATAATTTATTCTCTTACACCCGACTTTATAAATTACATTTTTAACAATTAATGTAGACTTATTTCCATCAAAGATAATAAACTTTGATCCATTATTTTAGGTGATATATTTATATGAAAGTTAATAAGCTTATACCTTTATGATATTATTTTTAAGAGATAACATTTTCATATCATTTTTATATCATCAATACTACCGTCTATAAATTAAATATATAATCGGTCAAAGTTTAACATCATTGATTTGAGCAGTCAAATTTAACTAAATAAAAAGGACGAACCGAGTATGTTAACAAAGTATCAAGATTTGATATGTTATTGTATAATTAAAAAAGGGGGAATTTATTAGGGGATATGTAGAGCTTTGCTTTCCCAAACGTAGAATGACTAGAATCAAAATGCTTTTGTTAGATAGCTAGCTAGGGATTGTGAAAACGATACCCCGTAATGATTATTGTATAGGAAGTCTTAAAATTAAAAATACCCCATCATGATTTAGTTTTTAGTTCCATTTTAGTTTTTGTTACCTTCTTTTCTACGTAGTATATAATTACATATTTCATATTATAATGCATTTCTTTTCCAACCAAACAAGGTATAAGTGTAAATTAGGAAGGACATGTAAACAGATAAAGCACAAAGGGAAATATATACGTATGAAGTATAAAAGAACTATACTTCCTTCATAAGTTAGTGGATATGCCCAATATAATGGAAGCGCATCATATATATATGGACAACATATGTAGCTCTACATGTGAATAAAATTTGTTTAGTTGTAGTTAGTTCCTTAATACAATTGTGAGCCTTTATTTTATCTCAAAACTTCCTGGATTGGTTTACATATATACACATATATTTTGTTCTAAATAATTAATTAAGAATGAATCGCTTGCGTAATAATCATTTTTATTGCTATTTGTGCTACCAATGCTATGAGGGATTTCGATCTCCTAATGAAGTAACCTCATGTCGTCTATGCTTAGCTCATTCTCTGTATGAGATTCAAAGCATTACATTCTACCTTGGGGATATCGACAACCATCGAGCACCCCCGCTAGTTGGGCAGTGGCAGTCGAGATATCACAAAAAGGCAGATCCATTGGTAATGCTTCAGCGGCCTGGAATTGTAATATGTTTAACATGGCGAGGAAAAGGTGAGCAACCCCGAACCACTGGATGGAAAGGTGGGGCAGGGCAGCTTCAAACCGCCATTGAACAGGTAATGAAATGCAGTCAATTGTATTGGTGCTACCATTGTCGCAAACTAGGTCATACAAGAGAAACAAACAGTGCCGAATCAATAATGACTCCTCCTCTTACTCCTACAACTCCTGAGATCATGCGATGTCAGGATTGCTTAGGTGAAAGAGCTGTCAGATTCACGGATGCGACAATTGACAACCATAACCCCATTTATTGGTGTTATGGATGTCGTAAACCTTATTATGTTGGAGGAATAGTCCAATCATCTTCCTCCTCCTCTTCTTCTGAGCTGATATGTCCTCAGTGTGGGGGTGATCACCTCATGTCACCGGTGCGAATGCAAAGGAGCCTCATCATCCACGGGGATGCCGAAAGAGACTCACCAAACGACGGTACAAGTACTGAATTTAGCTGGTTTGCGAAACCTTTAAGCCACACGTGGTGGATGCAAGACCAAAGAGAGTACTTTTGGGGTAGTGATGCAGCGCTGGGTCGAGTGCAACTCAATCACATCCTAGGAACAATACATGAGAAAGAACCTTATCCTCCTCGAGGTGGCGGCCCGCCCTCTGTGGAACTAACAAATGTGACAACCGCTGATGCTGCTAGCAATTCAGAGTCACATCGGGCAACCGGCCAAGAGGCCCAAGAAAGGAGAACATGTTTGGAAGAGCTGGACGGGAAGGAAATGAAAGGTAGCTCAAGCCTAAACCTAAACCTAAGAGGAGATGGAGGATTAAAGTTGTTGGTGTTGGTGGCTGCTTTTATTGGTGGCCTTTTATTAGGCTCCTTAAAATTGAATTGGTGAAGATTGGTCCATCTACATACATGCATGTGCGCTCATGCCCCTAGTTTAATTTATGTACATATATATATTCATGGAATTATATTGATCGAATATATTGTACGTCGTTCTAAGCGTGTTTATATTACATGTATATAAGTATGTAACCCCAATCAAACACAATAAAAGATGTTGGAATTCAATCAATCATGTTTTATAATTATGCGTGGAGATTTGTTGGTAAGCAAATACTACTCGACATCGTGAATTTTTAATTTACACTTCATTTTGAATGATATTGGACTTTACACCTTATTCATTATTTATAGTTTTGGAGTGATAGGTTACACATGTTAATGAATTTGAAAACGTCATGCAAATTTCAATATCGCCCAAATTAAACATAGGGTTCAAAGTCAAACCACCTTCTATAAAAAAATTCACCAGTATTAAAATGTATATTTAATTTTGTTATGATATATAGAGTTTCGGATTTAAAAAGTCCTATATATGCAGATTACTCATTGTTCACTTTAGGCGTGATGGTCATATTTTATGTGTTCTTCTTTATGTTGATGATTTGCTTCTTAGAGATGGTGATGTTTCATTTCTTAATGACTTTAAATCTTATCTGGCACGCTCATTTTCTATTAAGGATTATTTGGGCAAAATGAAAATTTCCCTGGGCATTGAGGTGGCGCGTAATTCCACTAGGATTTTCCTTTGCCAACGGAAATATGTATTGGATCTTCTTGCTAAGACATGGCTCCTTAGGGCTAAACTTGTTGCCTTTCCCATGGTCCAAAATCATGGACTTCAATCCACCACCTGTTCATCATATTCTGTCATCGAGCAATATCGACGTCTTATCAAGAAACTTATTTATCTTACACTTACTCGGCCGGACATTAGTTACTCAGTACATATTCTTACTCAATTGTGCAACACCCGCTTCAAGTTCATTGGGAGGCGGTACTCCAAGTTCTTTGACGGGTACTTTGTCGTAGTGCGTCAAAATAAATTCAATACTAACACTTATACGTAGTATAGTGAAGTAGAGTTCGTATCCACAGGGAAAAGAATAAATCTCTTTTTAAATGAAACTAGTAATTTAAGGGGGGTTTTGGGGTTGAATGATTTAATTTAATTAAAAACTAAGATGAACAACTTATATGTGATTTATTTCAAAGATAAAAGGGACTTAACTTTGCTACTTTCCACTTGTTGATATATTTAGTCGATCCTTGTTATATCTATAACTTATCCCCTCTCGAATACTCAATCGAGGAGTATCTCCAATTCATCGAGGGTAGTTATTAACAACGACCGTTCATTAATAACACTTACTATTAATCAAATATAGAACAACACCTTATACCGATTTAATAGTAGCATTTAAATCAATTGAGAAAATTAATTGAGAAAATCAATTGTGTAAACATTATCCACCGGTGACCGGCCTTTAATGAAAATATTTTTGTCACGGATTTTATTAGTGATACTAGCTAATGGATATTCATCACATTTTGTATTATGTATTTTTTTTATATTTGCTATGTTTTGCTCGCGAACTAACTTTTGAAGAAAAGCATGTCTTTTCTATATACTCCCTCTGTCCCCCAATTAAGTTATCACTTTCTTTTTTGGGTAGTCCCTAAATTAAGTTCACACTTCCTTACTTTCCTTATTTGGCAAATTATCTACATCAAAACAGTGTCAAACAGTGTAAAACAGTGTCCAAACAGTGCAAAACAGTGTCCAACAGTGTTAAAACAGTAAACTTACCCTCAAACAGTGCAAAACAGTGTCCAACAGTGTTAATATGTGTGAAATCAAACACGTAACTTAATTGGGGGACGGAGGGAGTATGTCTTATGCCATCTCCTTTAATATAATTTACACATACTTTTAGAAATGACGAAAAGAATTGAAAGAAGAAGAAAAAGAGCAAATAAAAACATATTCCGTAAATATTCCATTTGGTCATGTTTGGCAAAACTAAGAATACAAGGTTCGAGCGGTGGGAAAAATTGGATGTAGACCAAGGTTTGAATACCGCAACGGCCAAAAGGGGGTTTTGGGGTTGGGCATTCAACCTGAAATAAGGCTGGCCCTCTGGTGCGCACGGGTAAAGGCCTACTGCCGCTTTGTTGACTAAGTCACCGTGATTAACCTCTCCACCATCCCGTCGGGTTGGAGTGGGGGGCCTTGGGGTTGGGCATTCAACCTTTTGGACGAAGAATACAACTACGCTCCCCCTATTTTGCCACAAAGTTAATGCTACCCCAAAAATCATCTTCTTTTCTCATACAAAGATAAATTCACGATCCACTACAAAAAAATTACGGGATTGACACATAATTTGGCACAGACTTACCGATTTTTCGTGCCAAATAGCTCGTGCCAAAGCGTTTTTGGCACGGATTTATCATATCCCTGCCAAAATCCCTGTCAATCCCATGTTTTTTTGTAGTGATCGTTTTCTTTTATGGTAATAATAGTTAATTAGTTATATATCAGAATAATGACTTTCTTACGATGTCTCCACCACTTAAACGTATCATTGCTATATTGACTTTCTTGATTAATGGCGGTAAAATATGGTCAGTGATTTTGATTAAACAACGAAAGGAATACTTGTACAATTATACATTTGTGTGATTAATTAATGTTACAAAAAACATTTTCATATTATAAATAATTTCGTGTGCAATTATATCATTTTTCAAAGTTTAACATTGTGAAAAAATAAGTTAAAAATGGCTAGGTTGTAAAAGAGACGAAGGGAAGATGTTTTAAGAAGAAATGACATGTATTATGTATATGGCTAACAGAGTTTTCTCGGACAAAAAATATGACTAGTTAGGTTTTTTGGAAAAAAAAATATGACTAGTCAATGTGTACGAGTAATTGGACACACTACAACAAATTATAGCTTTTGTAGCATATGCAAAACGTTGGCATTGGTGCCAAAATGTTATAATATACTACGTATCAAATATAGCATTTTTAGTATGTTGCATCCGATTGGTGTTACAATAGATGTATTGTAACAATTTATTATTTTATTGTAGCATTTCTAAATTGGTACAAAAATGTTACAATAATAGATATTATTGTAGCAATTCTTACAATGCTACAAAATGGATGCCACAAAACACTTTTTGTACTAGTGACAAGAGTCACTATAGTGTATTTCAAAGTGACAAGTCACTGGTAGATGATGAGTCACCGGGAACTAGTTACTAAATATGTCACTTTTTGGAAAACTTTGAAATAAATTAATTATATTTTTGTCCTTTGAATTAAATTTAATAATAATCATGGAAAAACGTCGTACATACTTCTTTTCTAAACAAAGTAAACATGTAAAGAGGAAGAGTGCATTTAAATGCACAAAACATAAAGCAACAATAGAAAAAGATTTATACTTTACTTCAATTCATAAGTTATAACGTCATTCAAATAAGATGTTAACTATTATTAATTATATACGTAGTACTATATGTATTAAGAATCACGTATATGCTCTGGTTTATTTAAGTTGTTATTTTGTCTTGATCGATATGACCTTTCTTTAATTCATTATATCATTAGCTTGTATACAAAAATATATATACACACTTTTTGTTGTCGTAACCAAACTACAAAACAATGGATGGAACAAGCGATTATCAATATTTATGCCACGAGTGTCACGGGGAGTTCCGTCCTGCTCATGAAGCCACCTCATGTTATCTATGTTCTTCTCGATTTATGTACGAGATTGAAAGCATTACATTCTACTTGAGGGATGTTGGCGACCATGGAGAAGTGGGACTCGTAGCTTGCCAATGGCGATCAAGGAATCATGATCCATAAAGAGAATCATCTTTTATGTCTCGGCATCCGGGAGTTGTGATTCATTTAAGGCGGGACGGTAAATGTGGGATTCCACCATTAACCGTTTGCGTATGGGGTGAACGAAGTCAGCTTCAATCCACGATCGAAAACATTACACATTGTAATGAATGGTATTGGTGCTACCAATGTCGCAGACCGCACACATTAGACTCTAACGTTGTCGTTTCATCGTCTTCGCCGCCTCCCAGGATTCACCACAATCCAGGCCATACAACAATCAGATTCACTGACACGCTTATCTGCGGCCTTGATGATTGTCATTGGTGTTGCTGATGTCACAGACATCATCTTCTGTTCTCAACCCCCCTCTTTCTGGGTGTAGTTGCGAGGACGATGAATTCAGGTCAGCGATTCAATTTCAAACTACCATCGTTGTTTACAAGGATGCAGATAGAGAATCACTTGCGCGCCTTAGTATTCCTTTTTCGAAACCATGGCCGACTGAAGTTGCGGATCCGGTGGGAGGATATTATCTCACGAGAATCGTAGATTTAATATATCATATAGAAGTGAAGGAAATACTCGTGGGTTTAATAGGAAGGGTGAAAATAAATGATCTGACAAGGTATGGGAATGGGGAATGCAGAATATGTTTGGAAGAGTATGAGGCCGGAGAGGAAGGAAGCGAGTTACCTTGTAAGCATATATATCACAGCGAATGTATTGCTTCATGGCTGATGAAGAATTACGCTTGTCCTGTTTGTAGACTTGATTTGTGTTTACCTACAAACAGTACTGTACGGGACGAGCCTCAGCCGTCTCGGAGAAGGACTTTTATACAAAGGTGGGAGCTTATGCAGCTTTCTGTGATGCCGCATTTGAGACATTTAGTAATCAAATTGAGGCTCATTCTGTATCCAGCAGGATTGTGGCCTACAATATAATTAGAGCAACTCTGAAAATCAACTCATGGAAGAATTGAACGTGCTAATTTGCATGTCTGGGGCATAAATTACATAAACATTAACTTAATAATTATACGTAAATATTTCAACTTACATTATTATTAGTATTCAAATTTCTTGTCCAGAAATCCTACTTTACATTACCATTATTCAAATTAAATCTATATAACGGATCGTTTATGCATTTTACCCTTTTTACAGTGCACGTAGACATGAAAATAGTTGTGTTACCCTTAAAACAAACGCATCTAGAGGTCTTTAAAGCTATAATTATTAGTTTATATTAAGTGTGTTTTAAATTACACTAGTTTCAATTCAGACCACACTTAAACAGTCTAAATCGTACCAGAACAAACTCGGCAAGTGTAAAGTATGTTGGAAAATTGTATTAAAAATTGCATTAAATGGCTATTTTCGGGCAGTATTTTGGATGGGGCCCACTTCCGATTTGGGTCGGGTCAAAGTGGTTTCGAATTCTCCTTTTGTAAGGGCTTCAATTCGATATGTGGTGCACTCAAAATGGATAATGGGTGAATGAGAAATTGATTCTCGAAGTTCACTTGTTGAGATGGAGAAGTTGGAAATTTTCGAAGGTAGAAATAAACGTAGAACTACCGTCGGATAATGGTCGTTCTAACCTCTCCTCGAACTGCTAGAGTTTTGACCGTTGCCTAACGGTTAGAAACTTAAAAAGTTGATTAAAATATGGTTTAATTACATGGTTAATGACTTGAAACGTTCAAAACCATTACAACACAATAAGTGTGTGTTTAATGGGCGGTTTAACACAATAAGTGTGGTGTTGAATGCATATTTAATATAAAGGCTCCTCCTCCCCTATAAAAGTTTGGCAGTAGATTTTGAATTGTAAGTGTGACAGTATCGACCCAACAACAAGTGAGAACACATGACTTGAGAACACGAAATACTTGTTTGCATAGTCTTGCGAGAAAAACTATGCCAAACTTTCGATAAAACTCCTCGAGTTCTACCCTTTGTTCCAGTTCACCGGAACAACCTATTGAGTGCTCAATACGGTTTTTCGTTAGTCATCGTATCCTGGGAAACTGACACTGCAACGCTGCTAGCACCGTGGGAGACAGTGAATTAGTTTTAAGGATAGTGTGTGGTGCACACGCTTTGATTGAACCCGTGCCAGTTCTTTGTCCAGTTCTTTCGGCCAATTTCTTAATTTCGGAAAATAAAAGAGCAAAATCAAGACATTGTTTTCCCTACAATCTTAAAACTAATTCATTTGTAAATGTTGTGGTTTGGTTTTTACGAAAGTTGTTTCACGACGGAAAAAAAACTTAAAAACTAACTCAGTGTTTTTTGTTTAGTTTTAACAAAAGAAAAACACGATTTTCCCTACAAAGTACATATGAAATAAATATCTTCCAAAACAAATCATACTAAACTAGATCAGATCATACGAGCCTCAACCGTCTCAGAGGAGGAGTTTTATACGATGGTGGAGGCTTAGGCATCTTTCAGTGATGCCGAATTTGAGACATTTTGTAGCCAGACTGAAGCTCATTATGTTTTCCTGGAATTATCCACTGAAATTATACTCCCTCCGTCTCTTAAAAGTTTGTCAACTTTCCTTTTATGGTTGTCCCACTAACTTTGTCACTTTTCCCTTTTAGTAAAGAATTTGTGGCTCCCGATAATTCTCTCTCCTCTGCACAAACCTTAACCACATAGTTTTTACTTGAAAAAATTCCACTTTTGGTCCCATGACTATTATACCAATTCCACATTTACTCCCTTACTTTCAGATTGTCCACATTTAGTCTGTGACCATTATCCCATCACCACCTCTCGTCCTTCTGGCCAAAATTCCGGCAAATTTAGTCCACTTATCAGCCTCAGAATCAGTCTTTTCATTAAATTTTATATAAGGTTGGGTTTTTCATATTAGTCTTTGCATTAAATTTGGTTTTTCATACCTAAAATCGGCATTAAATTTGCCGGAATTTTGGCCGGAAGGATGAGGCGTGGTTAGGGGATAATGTTCACGGACTAAATGTAGACAATCTGAAAGTAAGGGACTAAATGTGGAAGTGGTATAATAGTCACGGGACCAAAAGTGGAATTTTTTCTTTTTACTTTATTAATACTCGCGCCGGTCAAACTTGGTAAATTTTTAAGCGACGGAGGGAGTATAGATTTCATTAATTATTTATTATATTCTTACTCAAAAATAGTACCACAATATTTTAATTTTCTGATAATTATATTTTATGTCTCTCTTTTTTATCTTTTATTAATTCAACTATGTAATAGCTGATTCTTAACCCAAAGTATTTCCCTTTCTCTTCTACATTACCATTTTTTGTTTCTATATTTATATTTTGTTAGTGTAATTTTATAGTAACAAAGATCCCTTATTTGAGTAGTAGATCTTCACATATTCCCTAACAACAACAACAACAACAACAACAACATCCAAGCCTTAATCCCAAAGTCATACTCTCATCCGACTCAAGAAGACGCGTATCAGTACTGATTCCTCTAATCCAAATTTGTTTGGGTCTTCCCCTCCCTCTCTTCTCTACCTCTTCTCCCCACCCCTCAAGTCGTCTAACAGGTGCCTCACTCGGTCTTCTACACACATGCCCAAACCACCACAAATGAGACTCCTGCATCTTATATTCTATAGGTGTTACTCCCACCTTTAGTCTGATTATCTCATTCTCCAAGTGGTCTTTTCTGGTATGTTTACACATCCAACGTAACATACACATCTCTGTCACACTCATCATTTGAATGTGGCATTGCTTCACCGCCCAACACTCTATGCCATACATTAATGCGGGACTAATGGTTAATCGTTAAAATTTACCTTTCACTCTAATCAGCATACCTCGATCGCATAAAAATCCTGATGCACTCTTCCATTTCATCCACCCAGCTCTGATTCGATGGCATACATCTTCATCTAATTCACCATCCTTCTGAATTATGGAGCCCAAGTAACGTAACATATCACACACCAGTATCTCCTTACCATCAAGAGTAATCCCACTGTTGCTACTACTTCTACCTCCACCAAACTTGCACTTCATATACTCAATCTTGCTTCAACTCAGTCTAAAACCCTTGGTCTCCGATGTTTGTCGTCATACTTCCAACTTTGCTTTAACATTGGATCGCGTCTAATCAATCAATACAATATCGTCCGCAAACATCATGCACCACAGTATATCTTCTTGAATTGACTTCGTAAGTTCATCCATGACAATAGCAAATAAGAAAGGACTCGGTGCAGATCCTTGGTGCACTCCGATAAAAATAGGGAACTCTGCGGTCCTCCATGCACTAGTGCAGACACTTGTAGTAAAAGCATCATACATATCCATGATGATACTGATAAACTTACATGATATGCCTTTTCTAGTTAAGGTGCACCAAAGGACTTCTCGAGATACCCTATCATATGCCTTTTCTAAGTCTATGAACACCAAATGCAGATCCTTTTTAGTGTCTCTGTACTTCTTCATAACTTGTCTAAGAAGGTGAATGGTTTTAGTTGTTGAGCGTCCATACATAAAACCAAATTGGTTCTCCGAAAGTTTCACACTTTTACAAAGTCTTTGCTCAACCACTCGCTCCCAATGTTTCATGGTGTGACTCATAAGCATAATCCCTCGATAGTTGGCACATTCTTGTACATCACTCTTATTTTTAAATAAGGGAATGAGAGTACTCTTCCTCCAACTCACTGGCATTTTGTTGTTTCTCCAAATCATGTTGAAGAAACATGTTAGCCACTCAATACCTTTCTCTCTCAAACTTCTCCAAGACTCGATCGATATGCCATCTGGGCCCACTGCTTTCTCGTTGAACAAGGTATCAAAGTATGACCTCCACCTCTCTTTTATTTCCTCATCCTCCATTAGTACCCTTTGATCGACATCCTTCACACACTTAACTTTTCTGATAACTTGAGTCCTATGGTCTCGAAGGCGAGCAAGTTTGTAGATATCTTTTTCTCCTTCCTTTGAGTCCAACTTTACATACAATTCCTTGTTCACTTTTCCTCTGGCTTCCTTCACAACTTTCTTTGCTCTACTTCTAGCCTCCTTGTACTCCTCTATGTTCTCGTCGCTCCAACTTTTGCCCAATTTCTTATAGCATTCCCTTTTGGTCCTTATTGCTTGTTTCACCTCATCATTCCACCAAGACGTGTCCTTTTTTGGTGCTAGACATCCTTTAAATTCTCCGAGTGTCTCATTCGCTACTTTTTTAATGGTGAACTCCATTGATAACCACACATCATCCATATGTCATCATTATCCATAGACCATACATCTTCCTCCAACATTTTGTGTGCAAAACTTTATTGGAGATTCCCCTCGAGCCTCCACCATTTTATCTTAGTCTCCCCTTGTACCTTAACCCGCCTCCTCTTTTTACCTTGAAAATTAAGCACAAGCATCCTATGTTGAGTAACAGTACTCTCACTTGGGATAACCTTACAATCAGTGTAGCAGTTCCCGAAGTCGTTCGTACTAAAAAGTAGTCAATTTGGGTACTATTAGCTCCACTTCTATAGGTGACAAGGTGAGAGTCTCTTTTCTTGAACCAAATGTTCATCACAGCCAACTCATATGTCGAGGCAAAATCCAGAATGTTCTTCCTGCCTTCATTTCTAGTTCCAAAACCATATCCGGCATGGATACATTCAAAACCATCACGACTTGGGCCCACATTCTCGTTGAGGTCGCCTCATATGACCAACTTCTCTCCCTTTGGCACTCGTCGCACCACTTCCTCAAGATCCTCCCAAAATTGTTGAGTGATAGATGCATCCAATCCCACTTGTGGTGCATAGACACTTACCACAGACACGATCTCATCTCCTATTATCAACTTAATGCTCATGATGTGATAATTCTTCCTAAAGATTTCAACCACACCCTCGACATAATCATGTTCCACCATATAGCGTACTCCATTTATGTTCCTCTCTCTCCCTGAATACCACAGCTTAAAACCTTCGGGATTAATCTCACGTGCCTTTTCTCCAACCCACTTAGTTTCTTGCATGCACATTATGTTGATATTCCTCCTCTTCATAACCTCGGCTATCTCAGATGATCTTCCTGTAAGAGAGCCAACATTCCATGTCCCAAAATGCAATCTACTCCCTGCCTTCTTGTCTTCACA